TGTCGAATCGTACTGTGGTCAAACGGAACACGCCCCTTACTTACATTCTGCACTCACTGTCACTCACTCACTCGCTGTGGCACTTCTAAAATCTGCGGCTTTAACTAGATACGCGGCGCGGTTCTTTCTGTTTTCCGATTCCGAGAGTCCTGGCTTATATACCGTTTTGAGTAAGCGAGGACTCTCTCAATCGGGAAATCAGTTGAGCTTTTGTGGTTCCTATTTGTTAATTAGTCGGTCGGGTGACTTCCGAGATCGCCAATCGGCGACGATCCCTTGTTTCGGTCGCCTCGTCCGATTTTTCGGGGAAGGAAAAAGGGAGAGTGTCGTCTTTTTGACAACGCCGCATAGACCCTTCGATATTTATCGAATGATAAACCTTTTTTATGTAATTGCTCGTGGCGACGGATCTTTACTTGCGCCGGCTGTCCTAAATTTTATAGGATGTATTTCTTTGACCCGGAGATAACCGGGTTTATTTGGAAAGTTGCTCGAGATGTTTAGACAATAATACAAGTTTCTGTTCGCTATCGTCTACGAAGGAATTCTAAGATTGTTGCTAGGCTCGGTTTATTGTTTTCGGGCGTCTACACAATTTCTATTTGCGCGCTTATCGCGTCAAAGTCCGAGTCCGTTCGTGTTATTTATTGTTTCTAAAAAAAAAAATTTATTGTATGTCGGCGCGTCACGTTGCAAGAAAAAGGGGCCCGTGGAGTCCCCAGGACGTAACAATACAGAGTGTTTAAAAAGTCCCGGTACAGCAACATAAATCGAAAACTAAGAGTCAAACAGAAAAACATTTCAGACAAAAGTTGTAGGCCTTTTTTCTATTATCATGTGACCTTGGATTTGATCTTGACTTTGACCTTCAAGGTCATTTCAAGGTCAAGGTGTTTTTTTAAATAGAACTTTATATTTTTGACGCCGGAAATGGAAAGAGCAGGAAATTTTACGTTCGATTATGATCTTCACTAACCCCCTCTCTTGATTTTGTAGTCTAATAGTCAATAAACAGCCAATTCAGGCAAGGTAGGAAAAGAACCCAGCCGGTTAAGGCAAAGTAGAGAAAGAGAGAGAGAGAGAGAGAGAGAGAGAGAGAGAGAGAGGGGAGAGAGAGAGAGAGAGAGAGAGAGAGAGAGAGAATCCAAGCATTGTCTCTATCTATCTTGTTTATTGTTTGACCTTGCTTTTGACTACAAGGTCAAGGAAAGGAGTTAATGAAGGTCGTACTCGAACGTAAAATTTCCTGCTCTTTTTATTTCCGGCGTCAAAAATATAAAGTTCCATTTTTTAAAAACAACTTGACCTTGAAATGACTTTGAAGGTCAAAGTCAAGATCAAATCCAAGGTCACATAATAATAGAAAAAAGGCCTACAACTTTTGTCTGAAATGTTTTTCTGTTTGACTCTTAGTTTTCGAGTTATGTTGCTGTACCGGGACTTTTTGAACACTCTGTATTTTACAATACAATTACACATATAATTATTTTTACTCTTACATGTAATTTTCTTATATACAATAAAACAAATACGCTTACATATAAAAAAATTTATCTGTATTATTATATCCTCAACGCAACCTAATCTACCTTAGTTAGCGATCTTGTAGTGACCTCACGGTAAGGTTTCGATCCAAGGACGATGCACCGCTTGTCGTCGTGCAGGCTCAAAGTGAGCTTCTGTTCCGAAACAGTGAACACCTCATGCAGCTGAGATCGTATGCACGACTGCTGTCGCGTTAGTTCAGTCGCATCCCGCAGACACCGAACATAGTCATCGAAGGTGATCGTTCTCGCGACAACGCTCCTCTTCACTCTTTTCACCTTCTTCGTGAACTTGCTGTCGCCCACTCGAGTCGCGTACATCTTTCCGCGCACACCCACAAACTCCGTCATAACAGCACCGTTGTTCTCATCCTTCATAAGCCCCGGTACCTTCTTGTTTGCGCGAGGCATGTTGGCTGGATAGTCGCTCGTAGCGAGCAATATCTCGTTTCATATCCTCGTTCATATTCTCGCACTTTATGTGGTATATCAAACTGTCGGTATCGGTGTAGAGGATCTTGCAATTGTCACCGTACAACGGTGCCATGTAGTCATAATGGAATTTGTAAAGACAGGTCTTCGATATGTCGAGTATGCACATATCGACGTACAACGGTTTGTTGAATAAAACTTCCAGACGATGCAGTTCTATGGCCACCAGATCCTCAGCAAACACGCTGCGGCTGTGAAAGTTTGGTTCTGCAATTAGCGCCTCCGCACCGCACCGTCCTTCCCATTTTGTAACGAGTCGTACGTCAGTGTACTTGCGTACGTTCTCCATCGTCTTGCCGAACACCGCGTTGTTTATAAGTTTGTAAAGATTCTTTGCAAACTCGTTGGCGGCGTTCGCGCGGAATCGGGTAGTGAGCTCGATGTACCCACGCAGCCAAGGCGATTGTGAGAACCGCAGTACCCGATGTATTTGCGTCAAGCAAAGCCCGTGTCGCAGACACCGCTGCAGGTTGAGGTAGTGAATCACGTAGCGCTTCTTGTCGAACACCGTGGCGAGCAGTTTGACGTGATTCTTTCCATGTTTACCGGGCGGCTCCTCGCTCGTTGGACAAAAGGGTAGATCGCTGTGCGCGTCGTGCAGTTCTTTCAGATACGTCAGATTGACCTCGAGTATGTAGCCGACGTCGCGACCGTTGTCACATCAAACTCGTACGCGTTCTCCACCCATGCAAAGTTATCATATGAAAGCGGTTGACCCATCGCCCATCCGTAGAGATTGTTAACGTCGTAGTACATCAGATACGACGACGGTTCAGATGGATGGTGCAAACGCGCGTACCTGTTGTTCGCGCGGTCGTATCTGTTCGAACATTGACTCAGACTGCCGCGTATGCCGCGTTCCACGAACATCATCATGTTGATGTCAGTCAGCAGCTTGAACGTTACACGAGTTTACTTCAACATGGCGTCCCATGTATATCCTGACAGCGTGTAGTAGCGCGCGGGATCCAGTCCGTAACTCGCGAGGCACTCGCGACAAAAAATTTCTAATACATCAGCTAGCAAAAGTACGTCTGTCTTCAGATACAGGTCGCTGTAAGATCCCAAATTGTCGATGTTGAATCGTTGCCAGACGTTCGTCGCGTGCGCGTACTCGCTCTCCGTCACAGTCTCACCGGTCAGTGAACTGTAAAACGCCTCGCGCGGTGGCAGACTTGTTTCCAACAATTTGTCGACGTTGTCCACATATTTATATGGAAACACACCTTTTTGCGTTAGCAGTTCAAAGTCCTTGGCGGAGAGATCGCTGAATTCCGTTCGAGTCACACGCAGTTCGCTGTTGTCGAGATAGGACGCGAGTTTTTTTAAGCTTGTGCTCAGAAATTTGTATGAATCGATGAATCGCTATTGCACGCACCTCTGATTGTCTTTGTCCCGCGTACTGTTCACATGTATCGTGAACGATATGTAGGTCTCTTTCGTCACGGGCAGCACGGTGATCTCAGCCTCAAAAGCGGTGGCCACATCCTTGATAATAAAATGCGCGTCGTATTCTGACAAGTCGTGGAACACAACGGGAACGTAAACCTGTTTTTTGTAATTCAGATTGCACGCGGAGTGCGCGAGTTCTCTGAAGCGTCCCGTCAGATAACAGTGGTCGCGCACCCTCATGTAATCTTGCTCAAACGGTCTTTCGCACACGTAGCAATACTTGGCGTTTTAAATCCGCTCGAGCTCCGCCGGTGTGAGATTCACCATGAGCGCGTTTTTCACGAACAAGGTTTTCGCACGTTTTGCAAGATCGTACAGTTCGTTCACGAACCACTGCACGCAGATCTCGCTTCTATGAGATCTGTATCCGATGTCGATGTGCTCGCAGCTTGCGTAATAACCGATGCTGAACACACTGTGTCTTTGGTACTTGTGCGCGCTCAATGCGTTCTGCTCTTCGTCCTGTTTCTTGAGTACGCACTCCAAGTCAACGTACACCACCATTGGAACACGTTCCTTGTTGTTGTAATTCTCAAATCTCAAACGGTTCTTTCCCTTAGCGGGAAGAACGATTGCACTGTTGTTCAATTGTTCACAATCCACGATGTGTTCCGCCAGCTTCTCGCTCGTGTGGAAGTAGTGTAGACATCTATGTACGCGTTGCAATAAAAACAATACATACACCATTGATTTATGAGTTCACCCATCTCGTAATTTGCACGATTATTTTAGTTTGTACTTACCGATTGCATATGTATTTTATTCTTTTATTTTTGCTCAAATGTGAGCTGAATAACGCGATAAATTTTTTATCCACCCGAAGTGTCCCACATGTCCATCGTGGTGATCGGGAACATACAACAAATTCACATGCTTGTCCTTCTTGATCGATGTGAGTTGCAGCAGCACGTATCTATATCCCTGTTCCGCCGCCGTAAACACGTTTACAGACACGTTGTTGTTGCTTTCGAAACGCGCGATTTGATGCAATGTCATTGAAAACTCTATTCCATCAAAGTTCAATACACTCGCGTACGCGGGATACTGTGCTTTTTGTTGAGGATTTGTGGCACTTGGATACAACGCGGCGACCACTGCCCACGCAAAACACGCATTGACGACTGTACGTTCACTACCGCGTGTTTGAGCTAAACCTCACGCGGCATCTGGACCTGACATCCCGCGCGCATCGGATTATGACTGTTCACATTCACTGTGAGGTTCTGTATCTGCGTCAACGCCCAGCCGCTGTCGCGTTCTTGGAACTCCTTCAGAGCGGTCATTGTTGCATCCATCACGTCTTGATCGTACCACTCGAGCAGATCCGACGTCTGATAGAGTCCGCGATTGCGCGTACGATCTTGAACGATTTTACACTCGTTTTTTCACTCGCGACAAACTTCCCGTTAAACACTGTGTTCACTTTTACACTAGCGTGCCTCGATGAACGCGGGCACCGTGTCTCTAACGGCTTCGAGAAAGCGACGGACTTTGATGAACGACTTGTTCACCACAATGCCGGTCACCAAACGATTTGTAAACGCTGTTTTGACTTCGATCCATGCGAGTCCCGCACTCTCGACACCCGCACCCACATGCGCGAATCATTTGCGAAGGGTCGCGCGCAGACCTTTGAGTCGCGAAATTCGAGCGACGTGCCATTTTATCACACTTGTGGACGGTCGCGGGCGTTTTCTACAACACTTTTCTCTCAGCGTCTTTAGACGTTTGTCACAACGTTCCTTCCACAAGATGTAACCATCCAACGTGTTGAGGAGCGCGGCCGCTTCTTTGAGCGGTTCGCGATCATTCAAGTGTGCGATTTTGATTGTCTGATACGATTTATTGTTGATTTTCTATCTGGGTTTTTGCAATACACACGCGACAATATTTTTTCAGCAGGGCTGGTCCATCAATGTGATCGAAGTGGGAGTCTTTTGCCCACGTTGCAATTGCCCACGTTGCGATTGCCCACGTTGCTATTGCCCACGTTGCGATTGCCCACGAGTTGCTTTTGCCCACGTTGCGATTGCCCACGTTGCGATTGCCCACGTTGCGATTGCCCACGAGTTG